CACTATCAGCAGATCTGTTCATTTGGATGAAAGTGAAAGGCCTCCAGGTTCAGAGGGGACTGACACTGAAGTGGGCAACTAGCTGGCATCCCTCGATGTGGGAAACACCAGGGAAGTTCCTGAAGTGATCCTGGCAGATGAGATGTCCCAGGATGCTCCACCAGCCGTACCTGGACCACAGATGCAACCCAGAGATGCATCACATGCACTGAACCACGAAGGGAGCCCAGAGAAACCAGGCATCCAGAGGTGACATGATCAATGCGCTCCAAAAAGGTGTTCCACCCCTGAGAATGGATCTGCTTGCAGAGATGGTGGGAACATCGGAGCCTGCATTGCATTTTGACATCTCTTGCTTACCAGCTCCAGTAAGAACACTCCGGAGTGTTGCAGCATGCAAGGGGACGGAGATTGAACACCTCTACCACATCCCGTCAGTCTGCAAAAGCCTGGGATACGAAACCGAACACTGCACTCCTTGGATCATCTAAGCAAAGACGTTGAACCGAAGCAACTTGGCAGCATTGCACACTACCTTGGCATACAGATACAGAGAGAACCAGATGGCAGAAGATTAGAGATCTGGTGAGAAGCCTGAAACTGGATGATGCTCCACCCAAGTACTAGGTATGCACATTTCTACTTTGACCAGACCAGATGTTACATTCGCTGTGGGACCATTACATAGAAAGAATGCAAAGCCCACAAAAAGAGAATGGAGAATGGAAATCTCTTATAACTCTTGTGAGACCACTGCAGATCTTAAACTTAAATTGTCTGCAAATGACAGCCCTAAGCTAGTTACCTATGTGGATGCAGACTGGGTTGGAGACTTAACAGACAGAAAGTCCACCAGTGGCCATATAGTTTTCTTTGGTGGAGGACCTATGAGTTGGTCAAGCAAGAAGCAAAGTGTAGTTGCAAGTTCCACCGCTGAAGCTGAATATGTGTCAGCAGCACTAGGCTGTCAAGAGGAACATTGGCTGGTACCAAAGCCTGTTGTAGTATATGAGAACAAAAAAAGTTGCATCTGCATTTCTGAGAAAGAAGATGTGAGCCAGCATATCAAGCATATTGATGTGGAGTATCACCTGGTGAGACATCTGCTGCAAGAAGGAACTGTCAAGCTGATCCACTGCCCAACAAAAGAGACGATTGCAGATGCGCTGACCAAGCCTCTACCCGGAGAACAATCTGAAGTCCTGAGAGATGGAATGAAGTTGGTCCAGTTGAGCCACAGTCCATCGAGAGGGAGGGGGTGTTGGAAGTTCCAAATGTGATGTCCCCTGTCTCAGACCTCCAGACTGAGTGGCAAGTGAGATTAAATAGCTGGACAGGCATACTGACCTTTCTCCTTGCATCTACTCTTCTGCCACTGTCCTCTTTGAAATGCAGATTTGTGTTCTCAGGAATCAGTTTCCCCATCCTCCTTTTCTCTCTGGATGAAGACGTGCTCTCTATTTGCACACACCGAGAGGGACATGCAGTCCTCTCTTAGCACCACGAGGCAGATAGGCCTCTCGTCGTCTGTCACCATCCTTTAGCTAGTAAGTTAATATTCTATCAATCTCTGCTCTTTCCTGTCCAAAGTGTACTTCTCAAATAAAGAGAGAAGTATTTCTCTTCTAAACTTGCAGTGTGGCTCTGGTGTACCTTTGTAAGCTGAGTAACCTGGTAAAGTGACACTCCTGCATTTGTAGCTTTATTTAAGTACTCTGCTAACTAATGATGACTGGACTAACCACACCAGTTGAGCTCAATACAGGTCCCATAAGTCCTCGTTTCTGTCTACGTGGGAGCAGTGCTTCCTCTAAGCTGTGGAGTCTTGTGAGCAAAGATTCTACTTTGTGAGCAAGCTACTGGGCATTAAAGTTCTGAGCGAGTGATTTGGCTGCTGCATGAATTAGTTTGCTCTGGAGCCATCGTCCCTGAGCTAAGACAAAAATGTGTGAGACGGAGGCTAAAAAACTGCGAGCTAGCTCACACTAACTCAGCTTAGAGGGGACAGTGACGGGAGTGAGAAAATTAAAGAGCATCCTGGGTCTCCAGCCCAGCATGGCTCTTCTTCCTCACTTCCTAAATATCTCTCTCTCTCTCTCTCTCTCTCTCTCTCTCTCTCTCTCTCGCGCTCGCTCTCTCTCTTACTCTCATCCTTCTCTCTGTCTTTCTCTCTCTCTCTCTCTCTCTCTCTCTCTCTCTCTCTCTCTCTCTCGTGTGCTTGCCATTATTTTCAAATTTAAAAAAATTGTGAACAGCTGTACTTTAAACTAATAATAAATACAACAGTATTACTAATAAATACTAATAAAGACCAGTCGTTTCTCACTTAAATATGTTTCCAGTTTATTACTGTTGTTGTTAAAAGACACGACATCTAACAGAAAGTATCTGATTGTAATAAATGAAATGTATCACAAACACAAAATGTAGCCCCCACAACACCCACCCCAGAGATAAATGAAATGTTAGCACAAACACCCCCACAATACCCTTTAGGCGTAAATGAAATGTAGCACAAACACCTCCTGCCCACACCCACCCACCCCCTCTTTAAATCAAGGAAATCAAGAAAACTTACTTACCGATTCCAGCTCCAGAAAGGAAGAAAGGAACATGCTGCTGGAGGATCGCTGAGCCAAGACGCGTGCGCCGGAGCTTTCTAAAAGGCTTCTAAAAGGAAGAGCTGGGGTGGGGGGAGGAAGGAGGCGCCGCCGTGGCTTTTTCTAGTGGGAAGGTGATTCTCACCTCGATAAAAAAAATCTTCTAAAAAGGCAGAGGCACTGACACTGCAGCTTCTGCTTATAGGAAGGTGATTCTCACTCACGTCTTTTTAAAAAACCGATTCTCGAGTCTGTTTGGCGTACGGTTGGCTGTGGTACCACCAGGGAGTGTGCACCTTTCAAAAATAATTTTAAAAGCATTTTTGGAAGGCAATCTTGTGGGGTTGTCCCTTTAAGGGAGGGGCAGAGCCCCAAATAGCCCCACCATAGCTCTGGGCCTACTCAGGCACACTCTGCTGCTTTGCCATTTAAAGGCTTTCCTCGTCCCCGTCCCCCCTTTCCCTCTCTGGTTGCTGAATAGATCAGCATACCTGGTCGAACACTGCAGGGACTAGGGCTAGCAACTACACCCTTCCCTGGTGTGCTCTTGGTGTATCTGGATAGAACAGGGGCTTTAGCATGGTCAGAGATTGTGAGCTGGCCACCTTGAAAATGTAAAATTTGATAAGAAAATAAAAATTGCGCATGGAATATGTAAACACAACCAACTGAGCAAGGAATAAAAGAAAAGGTGGTAACATGCAATCCTTTAAATCCCGAATTCTTTACCTATCTCTTATAACATCCCATAGAGATGTGAATCTCTCAGCAGTACAGAGCAGGTGACTGGCAGTTCTGCCATATGCAGAGTTACTTCAGTCTAAGTCTGCTGATTGGAGCAACTCTGTGTAGGGCTGCACTGTTAAAATCAGGTGATGGTAACCACCTGTTTGTTTATTCTACCCTTGTTATTCCTACAGAGGGACGATGTGCCAAGACACCTTGTTCCAAAAAAGACCGGAAACGGACCCACAGTACTTTAGACAATCGGGAAAAGGGACATAAAGATTTGGAGTGGACAAGGGAGGTCACCCCATGCCAGAAGCTGTCTGCAAATAAGCTGGTGCCAGAAGGACAGTCACATGAATGGTC